AGTAAAGCGCCTGGAACAAACGCCATATACATTAAATATTCAGGCCTCAGGTGACAGACTGACAGGTAACAGGCCACCTTTAATGCAGGACATTGAGGAACTGCGCTCTCTTCTCTCCCTTGGGCTCGAGTCTGCAGTCTATCAGTCCATCTGATGGTGGATTGTGCTTCCTGTGGCTCCATCCTGCACTGAATAATGCATGTGAGCGTTAAGAGAACCGGACGACACTTGTGTCCCACTGACACTGATCACACCACTCATCCACAGCATCTTAAATGTAATTTCTCCCACCATAAGAAGGTTCGGTTATCTTCTCAAATGATAATGATGTTCTTGTGTTTGTGTTGTGAAGGTTTGGCTTTGCCTTTTGATAATAACTCAGTCTGTGTCTCTATTTGAAATGTAGATCTGTGTTCTTGGCACTCGTGTTGTGACTGAAGCGCAGAGGCATTCGAATGGTTTACCAGCTTTCATTTATCAATGTCATTTTATTGTGTCTGTTTTCTTCAGTAGTCTGGCTCTTGATTCACAGCCCCTCCTCCATCTGTGGTCTCCTTTCTCTGTCCAGACGTTTAGTAAATGAAGTGCAGCAGAGCCGCATCTCATGATGTTCCATCTACTGGACCATCCGTGTCAGTGCACTCACTTTATTTACACGGTAGATCAGTATGTCTCAACCAGGGGTATGGAAGCTCATCTCTGCCACAGAGTTCAAATATTAAAAAAAGGTAATCTCACAATTCTGAAATTTTTCTCAGAATTGCCCGTTTAAATCTTGCAATTGAATAAACTTTGGGGAGAATTGCATGACATAAATTCCAAATTCTGAGGAAAACAAATTTTAGTGTTCATTGTTTCATTGTTGCGATGAAAATTCTGAATTCTGAGAAAAACAAAACAAAAAAAAATCTCAGAACTTTGCAAAAAAGGTCAAAATTGGGAGAAGTAATTTCAGAAATTGGAGAAAAAAAGTAAGAATTGTGAGATATAAACTCAGAATTAAGAGAAAAAGTCATCAGAATTAGATTATGTAATTTCGGAATTCTGAGAAAAAAGTTAGCGTTACAAGATGTAAATTCAGAATTCTGAGAAAAAATTCTGAATTCTGAGAAGTAAAATTTGCGAGATATGAATTCCGAGAAAAAGTCAGAATTGTGCATTTAAGAATCAGAATTATGAAAAAAAGATAGAATTGCAAGATGTAAAAGAGATGTTATATCTATTGAAATTGCATTTATTTAAAAGAAGTCAAAATAAGTTTTAAAATAAGCTAAACCAGCTAAAAATCAAGGTTTTTCTTATTTTAATTTACACACATCAACAACCGCTTTTTGTCTTTGAAAAAACAGGATTCCCACAGTCTTGAAGTCTGATTTCAAAGTCTTTAAATGCCATGGGGAATTCTATATTTCTTTTCTTTAAGCCAAGCTCTAAAACATGCATTACTAGGGGTGTAAATCGGATGGTTCATCATGATACGATGCGATATCGATTCTCATACCCAGCGATATTATATTTGCAGATACCTCAAAAATTCTACGATACGATTAGGTTTCGATTCGATACAGGAGTATATCGATCGATATATCAATATTATGATATTATATACCTATTTTAAACAACCATCTACATTTTTATTAACTCACAAATGCAACCAAAATATATAACATGAACATTTATCTGAAATTTTCACATCCTGTACCTCAATTGGAACAATCACAACAACAACAAAAAATAGGCCTACACTTTTTTTTTTTTTAATAATAAAGAAAATAAACAATTGGAAAAACAATTCTGGCTGCTATGGGCTCAGTGCTAAAATATTTTCTACAGATAACCAAATTACAAGCAATAGCAGAAAATAAATACAATAGAACAAAGACACAAGTTCAATAAACAGTGCTTTTCGGGTTTTTCAGCTCAGTCTAAAATAAATTTTCAGGTATGCTACAGAAATGTAGTAATCAAATGTAAAATAACTGCATAGTCTTCACTGTATAAATTAAATATAGATTAATAATTTTTGATGTTACAAAGGTTATTTAGTCAGAAGCAGTGAGCACTTGTATTTTTCGTTGACAGCATTAGATTTATTATTAGTTTGCTTTCACTTTAAGAATGAAAGCACGGATTTAATATAGCCTACTTATACACATGCCTTTTCTTCCTCAACTGTTTAAGTTAAAGGGATAGTTCACCCAAAAATGAAAATGTGATGTTTATCTGCTTACCCCCACGGCATCCAAGATGTAGGTGACTTTGTTTCTTCAGTAGAACACAAACGAAGATTTTTAACTCAAACCGTTGCAGTCTGTCAGTCATATAATGGAGGTGAATGGGCTCCACGGCTTTAAGAGTAAAAAAACATACACGGACAAAACCAAATTAAACCCTGCGGCTCGTGATGATACATTGAGGTCTTAAGACACAAAACGATTGGTCTGTGCAAGAAACTGAACAGTATTTATATCATTTTTTACCTCTGATCCACCGCAATGTCTGAGCGCGTTCACAACATCCGGGCGTGACGTGTACGTGCTCTGGCATATTAGACATAGATATATATAAGTAGATGCCTCATTAGTGACTGTTTCTATGGGCCACGTTACGTTCCAAAATGGCGGACGCATCAACGTATCTGGAGCGGTCGAATAGGGCATCTATACATATCTATGATAGTAGACGCATGTGCGGAAGCGATTTGTCGCGCGTATACGTCACTCATTATTTACACAGTGCAGAGAGATTGCGGACGTGTTCACTGGCACTGCGATGATCTAAAGATATTTAGAAGTACAGGTCATCGCAATGGAAGACGATTTTTATATATCATCAGACAACGTGGAATTTTTTGCCCAATCGTATTTATTTGACGTCACGCGCCGGATGTTGTGAACGCACTCAAGACAGTTGGACATTGCGGTGGATCAGAGGTAAAAAATTATGTAAATACTGTTCAGTTTCTTGCACAGACGATCGTTTCGTGTCTTAAGACGTCAATGTATCGTCACGAGGCGCGGAGTTTAATTTGATTTTGTCTGTGTATGTTTTTTTACTCTCAAAGCCGTGGAGCCCATTGACTGCCATTATATGACTGACAGACTGCAACAGTTTGAGTTAAAAAGCTTTGTTTGTGTTCTACTGAAGAAACATATGTATGCCTAATCGACTGTGTTTACTAGGATATTCGCCAAAACGCGTCAATACATTTTGATGTATTTTGTCTGTATTTATTCATCCATGCACAAAAAAGTGGAAGAGAGCTCAATTTAGTATGCGGCTGTCTGTGTGCGTGCACGCGCTTCAGATGTGTGCGCAGAAAACTTCTCACACAGCGCTCGACTGTTCCGCCAACAATCCAGAGCGTCTTTGATGCTCACCTTGAGCCTTCGGGCAGTCCTTATATTGAGTCCTGATACGTGAGTTTGAACGAGAATGCACACGTTGGCGGTAATGCATAGATGGACATTATGTGAAAATGTGGACAGTGCCAAAATAAAGGTGCCTATTTATACTACAGATATCGATATTTTACGCGTGGCATCGATGCATCGTATCGTCAGACATCGTATCGATGTATCGATCCATATCGATTAATCGTTACACCCCTATGCATTACACTGTTCTTTTGGAAGGGCTGCACAAAATGTACTAAAGTCCACTCAAAATTGTGAAAACAAAAACAAAAATGTAATATTTGTTTACTATCATGTTGTTCCAAACCTGTCTGACCTTCATTCTTCCAAGGAGCACAATTCTTAAGAATAGTCTGCGTTTTTAAGATTATCAACATTATCATATAACTATTTTTGTTTAGGTTAATACTGTATATTATTATTATTATATTGTTATATTTCAGGAAATTAAAAAAGAATTGAAGAATAAAGGACTCTTGTTGACACATGGGCAGAAAAAGCTTCAGTGATTCAGTCCACAAAACAAAAAGGCAGAATGTTTGATGTTGACATTCACAGATGTATTTTATTTGTGACTTTAAGAGCTGAGATTTGTGTTCAAATGTGTCGGTATTTATGATGATAATGAAGAGCGTTCATATCAACCATTTTAACGGAGAGTAACTCGTATACAAAACCACAAATACACATTCAGAATAGTCTCTCCAAATAAATTACCAACTTAAAAAAGTGCAAAATTGTGCATTGTAAAAAAACAAATATTCTCTTTGTTAAAAAAAAATGAATGCAACATACAAACCAAATGCATCTCAGCTTACAGTTAGACACAATAAATTAAAATATTAAATAAAACAGCATTTCAAGTACTTTAAAATCACACATCTCATTAAAACGTCCCCCAAATAACAGCAGTAAACTCAATGTATGTCATGAAACTACACCAAAAAGGCATTCTGGGTAAGAAACAATTACATAAAAGCAAAGCCGCTGTCCTCCTCACCACAAAACAACAAATCTAATCAGATTCTCTCCGTTTCAGAGCACTAGATGAAATCACGCATGAACGGATATGATATTAAACTGCCACAAGCTGAAAGTCCATGACTAACATCATAAATATAATACACTGAGAGCTCATAAATAACATACAGTAATCAGAATGATGCATTGGAAACGTTCCCGTTCAATCCTGCATTCAGCTGGTGTTCGGTCCCTCATGTTTATGGTTTCTAGGAATTAACCGAGCTAATAACTAGTAATTAATCAAGCTAAGCATTAATAGACAGGTATTAGCTTGACATCGACCAAAAACACAGAAAACAATCAAAGCATCTCTGTGTCAGTCGAGTAACTCCCTGATGGCCTGATCTGTGTGTCAATGCAGAGAAAAGCTCTCAAGATGCCCAAGGCTTCTCAAACATCAGTGTATGTGCATGTGCATGTGTGTGTGTGTGTGTGTGACGGCTTTGAAAGGAGCAAATGCACCAGGGACAGGTACGATACACTGTCCACATTAATATTAATGACAAAATAAACCTGCAAGCTATGCTTCCTGTTAAACACACACACACACACACACACACACACACACACACACTCGCTCGTGTGGAGAAACATCTGAAACAAAGCACTGACTAGAGAAGAAAAAGTGACATTATCATCCATATGACGCCCCTCTGCCGACAAAGCACTAATATCCTAACGTGCATATGAAACGTAAGGAATATGTAATATATACACAGAAAACCGTATTAAAAAGATTCTCTAAAAAGGAGTAAAATCATAAAATACACAGCTGTGAACGGAATAAAAACAATCAGGCCACTCTCACAAAAACTGTCAAGAAAATGTGCAGGTCACATTTCCAAAAAAATAAGAAATTAATTAATTTTAATTGTTGTGAAAATAATCTCACAAAGCAAAACACCACAAATGTCCTAAAACAGGATTAACTTTCTTTAAGCAAAATGTATTTTTTGCTTTAAATTTTAGGGTGAAATGTGACCTGGACATTTTGTTGTGAGATTCACCAAAGCACCTGCACTATGATGTTGGAAAAGTGTGTTTTCATTTGTGTTTGTGTGCTGTAACTCACTAAAATGTGCAGGTCATATTTCAACCTAAAATAAAATGCAAAACATCATAATGGTCTTAAAAAGGCTTTGTTTTCTTTAAGCAAAATATCATTTCTTATTGTTTGCTTTCGGGTGAAATGTGACCTGGACATTTGGTCTTGAGATTCACCTGAAATATGTTGTTTATCTGTTTCAGTTTGTGTTTATGTGTTATTTTGTGTGCTGTAACTCCTCCAGGCCTCTAGAGGGTGCAGTTCCCTTTAGCTGGTCTAGTGCATCAAGTCCTAATCACAAAAGCCGAGATGCTCATAAATACACAAAACACATTCAGCTCATTAATTATAATGCATTTAAAAGCTGCATGCTGAGATGCTCTATTAGTGCAGCTACAACCTGTAAACAAACAAACAAAGAAGAGCGTGTTCCCTCCTTTCCTGTGTGTGAGAGTAATGAAGTGTTACCCAGAATCCCCTTCACAAGCACGGTCTCTCTAGTTGAAGCAGCAGAAGAGCGAGCATGTGGACGGCTCTGGGCTGCGGAAGTTTCCGGAGGTCGGCGTGTCGGCGCATTCGGCGATGAACCGGTGCAGTTCGGACACCTGCGGCACATCCTGGGTTTGTTGCTGAACACAAAACACACATACAGAGAGAAAACCAATCAAAAACAGCGACATGCCTGTCAGGCGATTTTAAACTTTCATTGTTTTAGGTATACTTGCTGTCTTAAAAAGCACATGGAAGCCCGTTTCCACCACTGAATAAAAATAAAAATAAATTAAAACAGGAATTGCGACTTTTTAATCTCACCATTAAGACTTCTCAGAATTGCAAGATATAAACTATTCAGAGTTTACAGCTCGCAATTCGTTTTTTTCCCCGCCATTGAATAAAAAAATAAAAAGGGAATTGCAACATTGTCTCACAATTCAGACTTTTCTTCTCAGAAAGTTTGTATCTCGAAATTCTGAGGAAAAAAGAAATTCTGACTTTGTTTCTTGCAATTCTGAGAAAAAAGTCAAAACTGCAAAATATAAACAATTCCAAGTTTACATCTCGCAGTTTATATTTCGCAAGTCTTACTTTTTCTTAGAATTTTGTTTATATTTCGCAATTTTGACTTTTCTCAGAATTGACTTTACATCTCGTAATTTTGACTTGTTTGCTTAGCATTCTGACTTTACGCCTTTCAATTCGGACCTCTTCTTAGACATTTAAGTTTACATCTCGCAATTTGGACTTTTTTTCTTAGAATTATCAGTTTACATCTTGCAATTCCAATTTTTAAATCTCACAATTCTGATGTTTTTCATTGAATTCTGAACATCTCACAGTGAAATAAAAGACTGTGACTTTTATCTCACAATTCTGACTTTTTTCCTTGCATAATCGAGTTTATAACTTGGATGTTCTGAGTCAAAATTGTAAGTTAATTTAATATTTAAATCAATATTTAAGTTTTTTCAAGTACATTTTTAAAAATTAACAAACTACATGAAAGAAAGATAGAAATATTTACTGACATTTAACATTTATTTTATTTCAATCAATGTAAATGTTTTTTTTTTAAATTAGTTTTCCTTAGTTTGGTTTAGTTAAGTGGACTCACAGTGATGGTGTCGTAGGCTCCGGTGATGAGCGCGATGAAGAGCGACAGCACCATGTAGATGAAGAGCGAGATGAAGGTGTAGAGATAGAGCTGACTGAACACCCACACCAGCGTCCCGCTCTGCTCCAGCTCTGAGAACGTGGCAAACATGTCGTCTCCATTAATGAGAGAAAACAGACACTCTGACACCGTAGAGAGAGAGCGGAACTGAGAGAGACAGAGATCAGAAGACCTGGACATGTTAGTAAAGAAATATATCATACTTTATCATGGTAATATAATATTGAAATATAACATACTTTAGCGTGGTAGGGTCCCAGGACGATCCAGCCACAGAAGCAGTAGCCCATGTAAATGGCAGCAACGCAGCAGCAGAACCGGATCACGTTTGGAAACGCGGCTCGTAGAGTCACAATCAGAATCTGACAACAGATCAGACAATTCACATCGTCTGAACATTTTCTATGTTAATATCTTGGTAATATTTGCAATATTTCCAGAGATCCATAGTTCCTCAAAGAAAGAGGAAATGTGAATCTCACAAAGCCTGCCAAAAATGTCATGTTGCATTTCAAGACAAAATCAGAAAAAAACTAAAACCAGAAACAACAATCGATGCTTGAAATTAAATACATTTTAAATTAAATTAATTATTAAAAAATATATTTTATTTCAGCTAGTTGTCAAGGCAACATTTCTCATTTTCTTTTAGTAACTTGATGTACTAAAATAACTCAAACTAAAATTGAAATAAAAATGAATAAAAACCTGGCATATAAAAAAATAAATAAAAGCTAGTAAATGACAAAAACAACAAAATTGCAATCACTTTAACTAAAACTAAAATGAAAACAAAAAATACAGAAATAAATCATTCAAAACATTAATAAAAACTATAATCGTATCTAGGGCTGCACGATAAATCGAAATGGAATCGAGATCGCGATTCGACAGAAGCTGCGATTGTCATGCGTATCTTTCCGGCTTTTTTAACAAAATGCGCATGACAATTGCATTCGATTAATCATGCAGTCCTAATCGTATCTATAATCGAGGAATAAATGCATAAACTCACGTTGTATTTCTGAAAGAAGCTGAAGTATCGTATCACGCCGACCCACACCAGCAGGGTGGAGGTTCCCATCAAAATACTGCAGACGTCATATGACGACAGGTTCTGCAGCACAAACACAAGCACCAATCAGCTCACAGCGTTTCTCAGACACAGCGGGATCTCCAGCACTCGAGGGTAACCGTGTGTGTGTGTGTGTGTGTGTGTGTCACCTTGGTCTCGATGGCGATCTTGATGAAGGAGGCGATGATGGTGAGTATATCGCTGATGATGAGCAGCAGATACCAGCCGTTGATGAACTCCAGACGGTCGCCCCAACTCACCGACCGGCCCAAAGACTGACGGAAATAGCACACAAACTCCTGCCAACACAGACCAAACATCAGTTTAGATTGTGAAATAACAACTCAGGTAGGGTCCTATGAAATCAGTTGATTTTTCCCCCAAAATCTGTTGAATTTTTTTCAAAATTCCATTTTTTCCTGTTTGGGGATTACATTTCTCATTTTTCTGGACTCAGTTTTAACAGTTAAATTTAATTATAGTCATCAAAAACCAAATCATAAAATCATGAAACCTGTACAATAAAAAAAATGTAAAAAAAAAAAATATTTATTTAATTAGAAGTTAACAAAAATTAAATTTTTAGGGCTCTATGAAATACATTTTATTTTTCCCAACATTTACTTACTTTTTCAAATTCCCTTTTATCTGTTTTAATTTTTTGGACTCTATTTTAATGGTTAAATTAAATTTGAGTAATAAAAAAGTCATGAAACTTCTACAACATTTAACAAAAATTACATTTTACAGCACTATGATATATTTATTTATTTGATTTTATTTTTTTAACCAAACTGTTTGTAAAACTGTGTTTAATAGTGCAATTAAGTTTTTTTATAATCAGCAAGCATGTCTAATCAATTTAATTTATAAAAACAACTTCAGAATGTATTAATTTAACATTTTTAACAATAATTTTTTTACAATATGTTTTGTTTGTTCCGACATTATGTATTATGAATTTTAGCTTTTCTGGTAATCAAATGAAGGCATGAAACATTAACAATTTAATTAATCTTTTAGTCAAATGAAAGTTAAACAATTCCTTTCATTTTTTTTTTTTTTTGGCAAACAAATTGCTGCGCAACAGAGGTTTACTGCTAAAATTAAAACATGGAAGGTAAATTGTGTGATTATTCATTAAAAAATAAAGTTTAAAATATTATTATTATTATTTACATTGAGAGGAACTTTCTACTGTACAATAGTAATATATTTCTGTCACAATTTCAAGTTAAATCAAACTTTTATTTACCGTGAACTTTAGTTTTAGTTACCGCACAGTTTCTGTGCATATGACATGAGACCGTTTTTCTTTCTCAAATGAAACAGTGAAATACTCTTGAAGAGTTTTCCACCATGAGCACTACGTAAACAAAACCATGCCATTCATTCACACAGAGACATGCAGGATGTGCTGGATTCATGTTTAAATAATGTTTTTGTGGTTTAATATTCACAGACAGTAGTCCATATCTCCATCTGATTTAAGTGTACTGACATACTTTTGATTTATTCATCCAAAATGTAACTAATTCCTAAATGTTCCACATTATAGCATTTTTTATGACTGGATTGTGTTTTCACAAGTCACAGGGCCCTACTTACGTGCTGCAGGATGATTCCTCTGAGGATGGAGCGTCCGCACAACACCAGAGACAGACCGCAGACCACCGCCACCAACACATCGAACGCCACGCGCGCGTAACTGTCCCCTGGACACAGAGACACAAATGATCCGTTCACCGTCGTCTCACCGTGTCCCGACACATTGGTGTCTCTGCACTCTTTAATGGACGCCTCGTTGAGCAAACTCAGCTTCACTTTACCACTGTGAGCCTTATTATCAAACAGGATCTGAAACACAGGTGCCATATGCATGACAATACTATTCCATTATATAACACACTGTTCAAACGTTTGAGGTCAGCAAGTGTTTCCTGCTTACCGAGGCTACATTTATTTGTTCCAAAATAACACATAACTGTACTCAACATAATCAGAAATGTTTCTTGAGCAGCAAATCAGCATATTAGAATGATTTCTGAAGGATCATGTGACACTGAAGACTGGAGTAATGATGCTGAAAATTCAGCTTTGATCACAGAAATAAAT